CTTCTTCTTTTCATCTGGTTTCACAGTCCTGATAGCAGATAAAAGAGCAGGAGTGCAGTCTGGAGGGTAATGCATTATGATTCATGTTGAGTTCAGTCAGAATAGATGGAGTCTAAAGCACATAACAGCAGACTGGTCTCCAGACTCCCACCAGCCCCTCACATTGTAAAACTGTCAGGACAGACTGAGAGAATATTACCGGACTACACGGGACTATATTACAAAAAACGTCTCTCATTTTTTTAGGCTGAAAGAATGTTTTATAATCATTGCAGAAAGGGATTTTTAGTTATCTTTTTATGTTCTTTCATATTACGGTTGATTTTTCTCAATGCAAAAAACAAAATATGTGAGGAAACCTTATAAATTCAAAAGCGAGAGAAAGATAAGAATGTCTACCTTGAAGTGGTTTTGACCTTTTTTTAATTAAAAATAAAAAAAATGTGAGCTAAGTACCAAAGCGAACTTTCAGATTGAGCCATGAAATAAACATTGTGGTCATTTTGCTTTGAGCAACATACCACCCAAATGTATTGCTTTTGTGAAACCACATGAGCACTCTACACAATACGTTATATACATATTCTTTTTTCCAACACTCCTTCAGGCCCCATCTGCCTTCATCAAACACACTAACTTTGTTCTTATTGCCAAATTCTGGATGTGCGTTACTCTAAAAGCTAAAAAACACACTCTGCCATCTTACAGGCGTCAAAAACCAAAGTAGTAGACCTTTATTCTTATAAAAGAAACAGAAAGTGCTTCCCTAATCAGGCCTTATTAGAGTAAGATCTTCTTTCTCAGACTGACCACATGAAAAACGTGGCTCTGCTCAGCTGAGGGCTGGAAGAACAGAGCAGAGAAGGAAAAACACAGGCAGGCTTTCAGTAATTAGACAGGTAGTAATTATTCAGSCTTAAGCTCTTCCAGACATCATTGCTTCATGTCCAGGGTTTTACTCGTGCTTTCTGATCCAGAGCCGCTGGTGGAAATTGTTGCAAACGAGACAAAAGGGTCTGCACATCGTAGCGCTGACGTCACCTTGCATGAACATGCTCAGTGTGCGTGTCTCCTACACATTTAGGTGCATCACACATGCACAGATGCACACGTTCCACTCATCTTGTCCAATCAAAAGTCTGTGAGAAAAGCTGCCATTGAAGTGACCAGACTACCTAAAGAGCTAACAGCTAACACAATACAGATACAGGTTTTAAAAATCGTTACTGAAGTCAAAAAATGCATTTACTGATTCATAACAGAGGCCATCAACAAAATTTGTTCATAATAGAAGTTTATTTTAATTTTAAAATGAGCTTCTCTATGAATCATACATCCTTGTAAATTGGGTGGCTTCTCATAATCAATTAAAATTACCTTTGCCTCGTGCTTTACAACTAATGTAACTCAATAAGTGGAAACTGGAATTGGTATTGTAGAACACATACAGTATGTCTGTTTAAACCAGAAGTGATTTAGTTAGATAGCAGGTCCTTAAGCTGCTTACAAGAGATAATCTGTTTAACTTATTTCAAGTTGGGTAAATAAATAACAACTAGTTATGTAAATTAGTTATGTAAAATTCAATATGCTCGCCTCTGGCTAATGATATGTGTGGCTGCACAAGGATATTTGATTTTGAATCAATACAATTTAGATGCATTGGTTACACAACAATTCATGCAATAGACACAGACACAGACATATATACATATATACACACACACATATACGTATACATATATATATATATTTTTTTTTCTGTGATTTAGCATTAAATTTAGACAATACCAACATTTTGATTAATTAATTTGCAAGGTTTAGAGACGTAAACCAAGATTGCACACCAGTCCAAAATCACAAAGTATAACCTCTGCATCTCATTTATGCAAGATAAATTAAAGAGTTTGAGTTAAAGTTGTAAACAGTGGTTTACAATCTTATTTTTATCAAATAAAGGTGCCCTTGAAGTTTCTTGTTTTTCATTTTAATAAGTAATTGGATAAATTCACTATTTTTTTTCTCTCTCTTTTTTCTGTTTTGTTATTCAGGAGAATTTGGAGAGGTGTGCAGTGGTCGCCTGAAGCTGCCCAGCAAGAAGGAGATCTGTGTAGCCATCAAAACTCTTAAAGGAGGGTACACAGACAAACAGAGGCGGGACTTCCTTGCCGAGGCGTCGATCATGGGGCAATTTGATCATCCCAACATCATCAGGCTGGAGGGGGTAGTAACGCGCAGTAAGTTGCATTTGCAATGGGCAAGAACACAGAAGGAAAATGACTTTCATGAAAATGTCTTTGTGTCAGTTACGGCTGAAATACCACTTTGCCAAATAATCATTTCAGGTTTTTTATCTGCTCTGCTCGTTGTTTCGTAATGAATTTACAGTATATTCTACTTTAGGCACAGACCGGAAAGAAAGTTCACATTCCATCACAGATCTGCCTATACCGAGTTGTTTTYACTGATTACGGGTTTGCTTTTTTGACAAATGACTGTAAAATGTGACACTTCTGCAAGGAAAAAAAAAGTTTTATTGAGCTGCTGTGGTATAAATCTCTGAAGATCAATGAGCTCTGATCAAAGTCTGTATCCTAAGCAAGTATAAATCCATAAATCCATATCTCTGACTCGCACCCCTTTGGGCCTCTTTATAGGACTATCATTAGTACACAGAAGGCCTCTTTAAAAGGGAATGAATGGAGAAAGAAGGATATAATGAGTCTGAACTTTGTTGCTGAGGAACGGGCCTGGCCTCTATTTCTCCCTGCGGCACTTGCCTTGTTAAGCAGTTCAGCCATTATGATTATTCCAAAGACTAGAATAAAACACCTGAAGAAATTCTCCTCACTATAGTTCCCTTGATTTAACTCACAGTTTGATCCCCTTCCTATTTTTTTTTACTTTGTATTCCCTTGCTGAAGCTCAGTGAATTAATTGATCGCCTAAATTACATTTTGAATTTGCATTCTGAAGTATTTGCTGACAATAGCACTTGAATGCAAATACTTTATTTTTACTGTTTTCCCAGCATCCTCAAAACAACTTTAAATTTTTGTGTTGTCACCCATCTTGCTAAGCTAAAGTCCAGCCTCTGAAAAAAGCTTCAGAAACACAGAATCGTGATTTGTTGCTCTGTGATTGACAGGTGAAGCCCTGCACTTTGCTTTAGGAGTGCACTTGCATGTGTAGGGATGCCCTGTACACATGTGCATATGTTGGAGCAGCACAAGAGCAGGGTATAGTTTTGATATGTTTCCCCACATAGACACACACCTACACCCACGCACACACACACACTGCTGAAGGGTGATTTATTAAGCTGCTCCTGTTAATTCTTAATAATCCTGAGACTTTCACACCCCATTTACCTTGCTGCTGCTTTTGGCTGATCCACGAGCTGCACATTTTCAGGAGCACATGCGCGCACACTTACATAGACATGCACTTTTTTTTCCCCCATCAGACCCGTACACACATCTGCATTTGCACACATGGGCTCGCACTTGCATGGACTGACAGAACAAAGAGGCTTGGGGGCTTTTCTCTTTACTGCCAAAGTTGAGAATCGAGAGAAAGGGGGAAAGGAAAAGGGCGGAGGACAGGCAGGAGGACTGTGTGTGTGTGTGTGTGTGTGTGTGTGTGTGTGTGTGTGTGTGTGTGTGTG